TCATATGCTCTAATCTTGAAGACAGTTCTGGGCATTGCATCCAGGGAGGGAAGGCTTAAGGCACTCAACACTTGTGTCTCCCATATTCTTACTGTCTTCATTTTCTATATCCCTCTTATTGCTCTAGCCTTAATCCACAGGATAGGAAGATATCACTCCCCACTCCTTCATGTTACTATATACAATGTTTTTCTTTTTGTTACTCCTGTCCTCAACCCACTGGTATACAGTGTGAAAACAAAACAGATTAGAAGTGTGCTGTGCAGACTGTTTGCATTAAAGTTGGATAAAAACAAGAACTAAAAACAGTGAGTTTCTGAGAAATTGATTGAAAGGCACCTAGAATACTGAGAAAATAAGGAGAAACATACTTTTTCATGTATATTTGAAGTACTTTATTTTGTACATCTTTATAAGATTATGCTACAACCTTTTGGAAATGTGGAATTCCCTTCTAGTTTTAAATACTATACCATGAAAGAGAGTTAAAAAACTGTTTGACCCTTCACACCATGCTTATGATTCCTAGTGTTCATGCCATGTACCTTGTGATAGTGTGTTTCTATTCAAATAGTGCTCTAAATATTTTTATATGAGAATTCCTCACTTCCCTATATGGCTATGGCTTAAATTTAACTAAAATCAAATACATGTATTGCTATCCAGTTATTTACAGAATATGAGGAGTTTCAAATAGCTTATGAAAAATATTACAAATGACAAAAAAAGAGTATTTTTTCAGTTGCATTTAAATTTATTTGTTGTACAATAGTTATTCTGTGACTATCCAAATATAAGCATGATGTAACATAAAAAGGAGTAAGAAATGGAAGCAAAAAATATAACAAAACCATATGGCTAATATGTGCTGTTTTGTGCAATGTATATTCTAATTCTTCAGATTGTATCCAATCGGATTGTACAGTTAGATGTACTGAGTGAATTAAAACAAAAAGTTGTAACTTAACTGCTAAGCCATCTAAGGAAAATATTGACATAGACTCTCCATGTCTCCGTTTTCTTATCAGTGAAATGATATCTATGTTCTAAAAATGTTGTAAGAAGAAATGTGATAATCTATGTGATATGTTTATGGCAATATTTGGCATGTAGTAAATAATAAATAACAGCCTTATTATAAATATTATAATAATATTATTATAAGCCAAAGGTATGGTAAAGAATAAAAGCCAAGTCAGAATATTAAATACAAATGCAGTTGTGTAAATTTTTCTGTCACTCAGATTTTGATATCAGAGATAACTATAGAATAATAGAGTCATTCTGTGGTCAAATATATATTCAGTTTCCTCAGTACATCATTTCTTCCAGAATGTGTGCATTTTCTAATTGTGTAAAAGTGTTTAAACTGGGTTTGTTCATTTTTCAAGCATGCACAGTTATCTACCCAATGTCATTGCACATTAAGGGTAGGCATCAATTTCTTTACACATACTGATGCATAAGGAAAAGCTAGCAAAAATAGTAAGTCATTATTCCATCCAATTTTAATCAAATTAAATAGAACATTAATTCATACATCATTAACATATTGATTCATTTATCATGTATAACCCTTACATTTATTTCTCCCTTTATCCTCTGTTTCTAACATTTTTCCTTCCCCCTGCTATTATTTTTGTCTTAATTCAGTTATTCTGAACACTAACCATGTACAACACATTTGGAGAAACACCAGACAAAGATGCCATCCTTTAGGGTCTTACTGTGTAGTGAAGGAGATAAAAGAGACATCAGTTTGTCAGACAGAGTTACTCAATTCTGAATAATTCTGTCTGACAAACTGATCCAGCCCATCACACATAAATTGGAACATTCCCTTTAGATGCCTCATTATTTTATTTATGAGAAAAATGTTAAACCAAAATATCCTATGTAAACGATACAATGTATTGGTGCACATGCTTGAGGAGGACACTAGGTTAAGCCACAGAGTTTAAAGAGTGACTCCAGAGGACTCAATATTGATATGTCTCTTTTTGATGCAGTCTCTTGTATCTGCTTCTATTTTTTGTCTTGCACTCATTTTTCTCCTAATGTAGACAGTTACTTTCATACAGCTAGGAAAGATGATCACAAATGATTTAAAGTCATATTGACATAGTAGAGATAGAATGAAAACTATTTCACATAAAAATGCTCAAGGGGAAATTGTTTAGTTTTTATTTTCTGTAGTTAACAAATAAGAGGAACATATTAGAATATTGGTATTATTATTGTTTGTTTTTGTTTTTAGTGCCATCAACTCAGTTCTGACTCATAGCGATCCTGTGTAGGGTTTCTGAAGAGCGGGCAGGTGAGTTTGAATCGCCAACCTTGGGATTCAAACCGACCTTGTGGTCCAGCGCTTTACCAGGACTCCAAAATGAAACATATCAGTGAGAAGTTTCCCAAAGGAAAGGTGTCTTCTTTCTGCAAAGAATGAAATCATTGCTAATGAATTTCCTACAGTTCTCTATAAACATGTTTGGGCAAGTTAAAGATAAATTTGCTTCTAACTAGAAATGATCATAAAAATAATTAACTTGGATCCTAAAATTGGTGAAAAAGAGCTTATGAGTCAGAATATTTTTTAGGTGTTCATTACACTTCCAGAATGCTATCTTATTTAAGACAGACTGTGGTTTAAAAGAACAACAACAACAAAGCAACAAAAGACCTGGCACATTCATTATGTTAATACATAACAAATCACAGCTATATGAATGCTTTTGGAATTGATATAGATTTCAAACACCGATGATATCTTTCCTCATTGGTTCGTTCTCACTTTTCCAAGAAGCACCTTCTAACAAGCTTAGACTTCACTGAGTTGCATTTCTCTGCATTCATATGGCAATTCTGACAAAGTTCCATAATTAATTATACACAAGTTCTGATGTGGCACTCTATAATAAGTACTGTATTGCTAACCTCAAGGTCGGCTGTTCAAACCCACCAGACCCTCCTTGGAAACTCTATACAGGGTCACTATGAGTCAGAACCAAGTCAATAGCACTTAACAACAACAACAATACATTGCTTACCGTTTGATGATTTTCACTAGTAGAATGCAAGCTATGTGAATATCATGTTATTTCTTATGGATGGATTTGATGTTTAGAAAACATGCCAGAGTGACATTTAAAATACATTCTGATGTGCCATTCCATTGGAATTAACTTAAAACTTTGTGAAACTGTCTTCAAATATATGCTTATGGTATGATGTGTTTACTTGTGCTGTTGTTACGTGCCATCAAGTTGGTTCCATCTCATAGGGTTTCTGAGGAGTGACTGGTGCATTTGAACCACTGACTTTGTGGTTGAAACCGACATATAGTCGAGTGCTTATTCTACAGTAACACACCAGGACTCCATGCTTACTTACAGTCATGTTTACTTATGTTGTCGTTGTTCAGTGCCATCAAGTCGGTTCCGACTTATAGTGACCCTGTATAGAGTTTCCAAGGAGCCACTGGTGAGTTTGAACTTCCAGCCTTGTAGTTCAAACCAGCCTTACAGTCCAGTAATTTATCCCACAGTGATACACCAGGATTCTTGTTTATTTATAGCCTTGGTAATTAAGTTTCTCTTTCATTTGTGTCTTTCCTTAAGTCCAGAAAGCTCAATTCTTCATTTTCTTTTCTTTCTTTCTCTCTTTTTAATTGGAATAATTTATTATTATAACAAAAGTACAAAGTATAGAAAACTAGTGTCTTTGAATCATTTCAGAGAGCAGAGAAAATTTTTCACTAGCAGACTTTAATTTTAGCACCTTTGAGATGAAATATTCAATTAAGACACATGGAAGCAGTTTCTGGCTCCCCTGGGGAAGGGGTTGTCCAGAGGTGCCCATGTGACATTCACAGAGTGGTGTAGCCCTTTTTTTTTTTTTTTTTCTCTATGTTTGGAGAGTGCTTAGTCCACCCAAAAAAAAAAAAAACAAAACTCACTTAGAAACAAAAGAGGTGTTCACTGACTCCATGGTGGAAGATGGAACCCGATGTGGAAATGAGCAGCAGGCACTAGATGATGGACAGGTGGAAGGTGCTGACAATGCAGTAAATGGTCTTGTTCTTCCACCTCACCATGCAGATCCGGTCAGAAAGAGTTCTAGCCAGAAGAAAGAGTTGGCTAGGTGCAGCATCTGCCTAGCCCATCATCTTACTGGAAGTCTTACTACTTTTATCACAAAATAGTTGTCTCTAGAAGAGAATGAGCTTACTATTTATTTTTTAGGAGGTCTAAAAAACAGAGATGATGCCTTATTATAGGAGTCAGCATATTGCCCTATAGGGTCACTATGAGTAAGAACTGAGTCGATAACAACATTTTCAACATGGAATGGTAAACAACATTTTCAAACATTTTCAACATGGAATTAAAAACAACATTTTCAATATGGAATGGTAAACAAAACAAAAAAATCAATGAAGTATGAATACTAAACAAAGAAATAACATGGCTAAGGATAACCATTCATCAGACCACTGCAAATTATTTCTTTTCAAACAACTTCTTTGTCTTTTGCTAATGGCTAGAATATTCAGAACACCAGCTAATATCTATAAGAAATCATCAGAAATATCAAATGAATAGTCATAAATTTATCACAAATAATGGATGTTTAATTCCTGAACTCAAACAGCATGGGCAAACAAAAATCAATTGGCATTTTGGACTTTGTATAAAATAAGTCCCTCATTGATCTACACAGTCCTAAGTGATTCTCATCCAACTCACTACTAAAAAAAGATTCCTGTTACCATTTCTCCTTACCACTACCAAATAGTTATCATTCACCATCACAGTCCTGCTCATTTATTTAAGTATTCCATCTCCCGTTCATGTTTTTTATTTGATAACATTCTTCTCGAGGGGAAAAAATTGAACATTTTCCATTTTAGAATTCATGGTGCCTAGCACATTACTTGGCACATAGGAGGTTCTTTGAATAGTGTTTAAAAATGGAATGTTTCATCTGATGCAGAGAAAATATCATTCTCCAGCAATGACACGTTGCACCCAAAATCGTTTGCGCAGGGCAGCCTTAATCTGTCGAGATTTGAGACTATAGACCAGAGGGTTGAGCAGTGGTGTCATGAGGAGGTAAGTGTTGCTCATAGTGGTATATAAAATTGGAGAAGTGCCTTGACTGTAACGATGCAGTACTGCCAGACTGATCAGAGGCAAATAAAACACAAACACTGTACAGAGGTGGCAAGCACAAGTCTGCAATGATCTCCAGTTTCTCTCCTGGGTCCCCAGCTTCATAATAGTGCCCAAGATTTTCATGTAAGATGCTAGGATGAAGACAGCATCCACTGCAAATGTGCAAAGCACACAAACCAATCCATAGATGCTGCTGAAAGTAACATCTCCACAAGCCAGGTTCAGCATATCTGGATAGTAGCAGTAATAATGAGAGAGGATGTTGGCTCCACAAAAAGGAAAGGTCCTGAGGAAGAAAGGCAGAGGAGCCAGCAGAGTAGCACCTCGTAGGAGAGCAGCTCCACTAAGGCAGGCAACAGTATAATGGGTCAGGATCCTCATGTAGTTTAGTGGAGCACAGATAGCTATCAAGCGGTCAAAAGCCATGGCCACCAGGACACCTGATTCTACTGAGGACAGAGTATGGATGAAGAACATCTGAGTCAAACAAGCATCCAAACCAATATGGCGGATGTCAAACCAGAAGATAGCCATGACACTAGGCATTGTAGTCAAGGAAAGGCCTAGGTCAGTGAGAGCAAGCATGGCTAAAAAATAAAACTGGGGTTCATGAAGAGTTTGTTCTGCTCGAACTAGTATGATGAGAAGAGAATTGCCTGCAAGGGCCACCAGGTACATGAGACAGAAAGGGATTGAGATCCATATATATGCAGTCTCCAAGCCAGGGATTCTAATGAAGGAGAAGGTGGGCCTGTCAGAAGCAGTATCATTAAAAACTGGCATGGTGGAATGCAGAATGCACTGTAGTTAAGGACTTGACAGCCTATAAAAGAGAAATTACATGTCAGGAGAGTTGAATAGACAAATCAGAAATAAAAACATTTTTCAAAAATGTTGTTGTTAAGTGTCATCAAGTCGGTTCTGACCCATAGTGACCCTGTATAGGGTTTCCAAGGAGCAGCTGGTAAGCTTGAACCACTGACCTTGCAGTTGAAATGGCTTTGCAGTATGATGCATTAACCCACAGCGCCAAACCAGGACTCTTACATATGGAGTTACACAATTATGACCTAGAGAAGTAAAAAAAAAAAAAAAATGAGTTTGTGCTTTTAACTTTAGAATGATTACTCTTAACATATGGAAGGCAAATTAAGCACAAGAAAGGATACTGAATGTCATTAATTACTAACTTATTCCATCCATTACCATCAACTTAATTACAAGTAGATACTATTAGAATGGATAGAATTTAAAAGACTAAAAATACCAAGTGTTGTTAATGACGTGGAACAACTATAGTTCTCCTGTATTATGGATGGAATGCAAAATGGCCCTTTTTTTTGGAAAACTGGTTGGAAGTTTCTTTTTTTTGGTTTTGTTTTTATTGTGAATTGAGTGATAGTTTACATGGGGGAGCATCCGTTCGTTTCATTGCAATGATTACAACCCCCTGCATGCTTCATCATTCAACAGTATTGCTTGTATTCCCTCTGATTTTTTTTTTTTTAACAAAGACACTCAGGAATATACAATAATTTAAACAGCCAAAGGGCACACCCTGCCCCTCAGCAACCAGCACACATCCCCTCTCCCTCCATGAGTCTAGAATCCTCAGCTGCTCTGTCTCTTCATGTCATCACCTCTGCCTCCATCTCTGGCATTGCCACTTCTCTGGGTACGGTCCTATATTCCACTCCTGTTCTTCTCTTTTGATGGTCCCAGGGTCCTCTGCTCCAGGACTGTAAGATCACCCCTTTTTGCTACAAAACTTCTACCTTTACAGTTGCAACAATCGCAATTAGTCATGATAAAAATTATTCACTATTGAATCATGAGAGTCTTATCCCCATCTCCTTTCACCAGACTTGTCTACACAGGATGAAAACAACTTGGTGGGGATTCTATCTTCCCATACACACTGGAAATTTCTTATAAAGTTAAAATACACTTACCATGCAGCAATCATAACAAAGAATCCTACTTCTAAGATTTTACCCAAGAGAAATGAAAGTGTATATCCACACAATGGCTTGTATAAGATTAGTCATAGCAACTTTATTTGTGATAGCAGAATACTAGAAAGAAACAAAATATACACCTACTGTTGACTAAATGAACTCTGTAATATACACCTAATATAATTTACAAAGGAATACATCACTGATAGATGCAACACCATAAATGAGTCACATATGTTAAATGAAAGAAGACAGATACGAAAGACCAAACACTGAATGATCTCATTTATAAGAAAATTTCAAACAGACAAAATGATAGTGACGGAAAAGAGATCAGAGGTTTCTGGAAAGAGTATGTGGGAGTGGTTGAGAGGTTATGATAAAATTAATCACGAAAAGTACAAATAATTTTCTTAGAAATGAATATGTTCTATGTCGGATATAGCTATTATGTGACTTTATAAATTTTGAAAAACTCACCAGATTGCATATTTAAAATTAGTGAATTTATTGTTTGTAAATTGTTTCTCTGAAGTCCTGGTGTGGCACTGTAGGATAAACACTGTAGGCTAACCACCAGTAGTTAGTAATTCAAACCCACCAGCACCTCATTGAAAATCCAATATAGAGTAGCTATTAGGAGGAACCAACTCAACAGCGCTTGACAACAAGAAATTGTGCATTTACAAAGCTGACCAAAATAAGTGTCTCTTTGTCTAAGTGGCTTCTTACTTCAATTGTTGTTGTTGTTAACTTCCATTGAGTTGGTTCCGACTCATAGTGATGCTGCATATGGTTTCTAAAGAGCCGTTGGTGAGTTTGAACCACCGACCTTGTGGTCCAGTGCTTTATCACACAGCACCACATCAGGAATCCTCTTACTCCTTACTTCAATATCAACTCACAATTCCTTCCTTTTAACTGATTCATAAAACAAACACCCCTTTAGATTTTTTAATAACTTGCTTCCTATTAACAAAAATCCATTACATATGAATAGTTCTAGCTATTGTATTTTACAATGTGTTATATTTCTTCTCCCCACAAAATAGTCCACATACTACACTGAAAAAAATAAATGAATAAAAGTGCTTATGGTCTCCAAAAAGGAACGCTGTTGGTGCTGTGGTAAAGCACTCAGCTGCTAACCAAGGGGTTGATGAATCAATCCCACCTTCTACTCCACAGGAAAACATGAGCAATTTGCTACTGTAAATATTTATATCCTTTTACCTTTGTTGATACCTTTGTTGTTAAGGAGTTCTGGTATGTAGTGGTTACAAATCATGCTGCGAATCTCAAGATCAGCAGTTCAAAATTACCAGCTGTTTCGTGGGAGAAAGATGAGGCTTTCTGCTCCCTTAAAGATTTAGAGCCTCGGAAACCCTGTATAGGGTCGCTATAAATTGGAACCGACTCCACGGCACATGACAACATCAACAACACCTTTGTTGTTGCTAAGTGCCTTCAAGTCAGTTCTGACTTATAGAGACGCTGCATAGGGTTTGCAAGAAGCAACTGGTGAGTTGAAACTATCAACCTTGTGGTTTAAACAAACCTTGCAGACCAGTGCTTTATTCTACAGGAATCCTTGAACCCCAGGGTCAGTTAGACTCTGTCCTGTTGTGGTATGATGAGTTGGACTTGACTTGAAGCCAATGAGCTTGGTTTGGTTATGGCGTCCAACATTTTTGTTAGAGCCTTTCTCACTTTTTGTCTATTCAAAGTTTCATAGTTCCCATAATCTATCCTCTTCCTGTTGTTGTTGTCAGGTGCCATCGAGTTGGAACCGACTCATAGCGACCCCATGCACAGCAGAACGAAACAATGTTCGATCCTGGGCCATCCTCTTCCTAACAAATATAAATTACCCTTTGAAAAACAAATTAAGATATATACTGTAAGATCAACACTGGACTGCAAGCCACAAGGTCAGCAGTTCAAACCCACTACCTGCTCTGTGGAAACCCTATACACAGTTGCTATGAGTTAGAATTGACTTGGCAGCCCTTAACAACAACATGCTTATCTAATTTGCTTATTTTATGCTCATTCTGTTCTCATTCAAATAGAAGTTCTTGGCAATTTGAACACTTACAAGCCTTCACTTAACTATTTAACCCTGATGTTGAAATACACACACACACACATACACACACACACACACACACACACACACACACACACATATATATATATATATATATAAAGAGAGAGAGAGAGACAGAGAGACAGAGAGAGAGAGAGAGAGACAGAGAGAGACAGAGAGAGAAAGAGAGAGAGAGTTTGTGTCTCCGTGTGGTTAATGTGTTAATGTGCCAGACTGCAAAGCCCTTTGAACTGTAAGTTTGACAATTCAAACTCAACAACTGCTCCTGGGAAACTATACAGGGTGGCTATGGGTCGGAATCAACTTGACAGCACTTAACAACAGCAAAAAAAAAAAAAATATATATA